TGTGAAATTGTGAGATGTCAAAGAAGTGACATGATTGGGAAGTAAGTAGATTGTGGAAGATGGAAAGATTCTTCAGTAATTTGACTGGGGAAATTGAAAGTTCACAAAGAATAACTTGCTTAAAGTCTCTAGTATATTTGAACACAAATCTGTCAGACTTAAAGCCTTTCTTAACAAAACAAAATCCTAGTTATTAAAACATTGTTCATGAGGAAATCTTGCAAAATTATAAGGTGATTGTTTTGAGTGGTAGAATTATGAATTGTTTCATTTGTGGTCTTATTTTCTAAATTCAGTATGTATTAGTATTTGATTAGTGTAATAAAACAATTTTTGAAAAGTACTACATGTAAACTAGTAAGAAGTGAGTTGTTGGAGAATTGGATTTATCATCCTAATACCTACATAAATAATGGATAAAAATCAACTGCCTAAATATGTAAGTAGTTACAGCTAACATTTGAGAGATGATTTGAGAAAATGTGGGCCTTTTCTAGCAATTAATTTTATAGACTTATGTATATAGACGTTCTTTCAAAATATTTCGTTTCTGAATAATTTACTATCAATGGCAATTTTCATACTTTTTTTAAACTTCAGGTGATAAGAGACTGATACTTCAAATGGCTAACAGTGGTTTCTGGAATTTCTATTTCATTTGCTGATCTGTTTCCAAAATGATTAGCTGTGTTCACTTCTGTTCCCTGAAAATTAAACCCAGATTTTTAAAATATTCCATTTTCATTTTTATTCCTAAGCCTAATTGATTTATTACTATGCGTTAGTCGAGTTTCTGTCACTGTGACAAAATACCTGAGAGAAACAACTTATAGGAGGAAAGATTTATTTTGACATACAGTTTAAGAGGTACCAGGCCATGGTCAGCTGGTTCCAAGGCACAAACTTCATGTCAGAAGGACATGACAGGGGAAGGGTATGCTGAGGATATGCTTGCCTCCTGGCAGCCAGGAGTCAGAGAAGCGGGAGGAGCTGACAAGAAGGAGCTGGAAACAGCTATGCCCGCAGTAACCTATTTTCTGCACAGAGACCCCACCTACCCTCCAGCAGTACATTCAGCTGTAAACTCATCCTTAGGTTAACCCATTGATGAGGTTAGCACCTCGCTCGTCTAAGGACTTTCCCAAAGCCCCACGCCTGAACACGTGAGCCTTGTGGGGGAGTTGTGATCCAGACTGTGATTTATTAGTAACACCCTTAAGTATGTATTGGTTATCCACTAAGCAGTAGCTACAGTTCTCAATATTTGGCTAATCTAAGTACAAACATGAACAATCCCGCTCAGATGAAGTTTATTATGGTGAAAAGAGGCAGTAAATAAGCAAAGGAGTACATAATAAATTGTGTGGTATCAGGTGTGAGTGATAAAGAGCAGGTGCATCAACACATGAATGAGTAAAGAAAGTGTATTTGTATACAGTGGAGTAGTACTCTTCTGTAAAGAGAGATAAATTTGAATTAGTTGTGGGAAAATGGAGACCATAATGAAATCAGGCACATGAGCTTAAATATCACATGATTTATATGAGAAATCTGAACTAAAAATAAAGAGCAAAAGAATAGCCAATAGGAAACAAGGACATAGATCTTCGGGAAATGGGAAATGGGCCAAGAAATGAAGTGAAGGGGAGGAGGGAGGGACATAAAAAGAATTAATATGTGTTGTGTACATGTTCCCACTCATAATGACTGTAATCATTACGCAGTACAAACATGTACTAATAAAAAATTTGCAAGTTTTAAAAAGGCACATATAGAGTTACATAGAGAAAATCAGGAGTTGATAATAGGAAGTGGATTACACTTTCCAGTGGAATAATGAACTGCTTCTTTGGGAAGGTATCCCTGAGAAACAGCATTCTAGGCATTTGGAAACAGTTAATGCAAAGACCCAAAGTTACAGCTTGTCTGACGTGTTAAAAATGGGGAATTTAAGACTGGCTGGAATAGACCAAGGGGAGAAGTAGCAGCATCAGAGGGACTGGGAGACAAGCTTATGTAGAGCCATGGCAGGTTGATGTCTAAGGAAGTGCTGGGATTTATTTTGCATGAAATGAGGAACACTGAAGTTTCAAACAGAGGAAGCATGTTAGAGGGCAGCGAGGGGGAATGTATTTGAAATTCATCAGTCTTCCTGGAATAGGTAACTTTCTAGATCTGCAGGATAAGAAAAATTGCCAAGTGCAAAAGATTTAGTTACTTTGGTAGGCTTTATTTAAGGATTTTTTTTGTCATCATACTTAGAAAAATTAATATACTTTTAAACCAGTTATATATGCATTTAAGGTTAAAATTAAATAATGTCATGAACTTTCTTTTTGCATCCTTTTGCGTGCTCATTTTAAAAATTGATGTAGTTTAATAAAATTTAAGGACTATAATCAGACATTTCTTTTTTATTTACAAGTATAATTCTTTTATTAATAGAAAGAATACTTGCCATTTGCATTTCTGACAGAATTATAAACTGTGTATCTTTTTAACCAAGATGTATTGATACACCTTTTTATTTAAAAAGCTTTGCACTTAAGTAGCAAGAAATAGTGTAAAAGAATTTCTGTTCCTTATTAATGTTAGTTAAAATCCTATAGGGGGAGGTACATGTTATGGCAATGATATAATAAAAGAAAATACAGGTCCATTAAGTGCGAGCCCTAGATTAATAATTCTGCTTTCTGCCTTTGTAAAAATTACTTAACTATTTGGTCTGGTCATGTCTTCCTCAAATTCAGCCTCACTGGTACTTCAACTGCTAAAGCATGTATAACATTTTCTTTTTTAACTCTTGTGGTTTTAAGGTTAGAGCCACAAGCTTGTTACTTGGGAACTCCAGACATAGTTCTCCCAGTGTGTCCTACCTCTCAGTGCTGTCGCGTGAGCTTGTAGGTGGGGAAAGGCCAGGGCACTCTAAGGCCTCTCCCCATCGAGACAGTCGCAGTGTAGGTGTGGAGTTAGCTCGTTAGTTGGCAGCTGAGTGTTTGAGAGTAATGTGAGGTACAGTTTTACTGTATTTCAGTTTTAATATGTTACTGAAAGTTTTACTTGAAAAGTTGACTGTAAGGTGGTCTTTGAAAGAAATTGTTTTCTATGGACTCCCAAAATGAAAATTAAGATTTAATTCTAGCTTAGCTTAAAGAGTAAATAAAAATGAGGCTTAAGACAGCAGTAACATTTACTTATCTGTAAAGGAAGTATATTTTTACTGAGGCAATATTTTTATCAGCTCTGATACTTCAAAGATTTTTTTAAATTCATCTAAATTGTTTTGAGATACATGTACTCACACACATAAACTAATGCTTGATCATCACTGTGAAGAATAGTTTTGATTTTTATCTCCAGCAATCATATTTTTATGCCTGATTGGTATTAAATATTTTCATAAAATTCAGCATTCTGAGAATTTTATAAAATTTGGATCAAAGAAATTACAATACATCTTGGTAACATTGTCAAGGTTTACCTAGTATGTCTTCAGTTACTTTCTTACAGACTAGACAGGTGAGTCTAAGGTATCAGTGGTCCTTGGAATTTGGGTAAGATGATTTTTTTTAGCAGGAGAGTTATGTCTCTGGTTTTGTGTGATTTTTGAATAAAATCAATTTGGAGCAAAACATTGGAGGATATCTTCTACTGTACAGTTGCTGTGTATAAGAAAAATGTCAGGGGCTAAGCAGTGATGGGAACATACTGAATCTCTGTAAATGATTGTACAACCAGCTTAAACCTAAATATGCAATATTGCAGCTGTCAAACTTTGTCTTACACATTCTTAGGTACTGTATTAGACTAGATTGTTGCTTATAGAATTTATGCTAATAACAAAAGAAGTAGTCTTGTCAATATAAAATGATTGCTGTGGTAAAAGGACGTATAAGCACAGTATAATTTTTCTTTGACATATTGTTCTACACCTACAAAGCATCTATTTTAATATCTCCTCATGAGGACTCCCCCCTTTTTTGCACACACAGCATAAGCCAAACACTTACTAGATGTGGGAGAAAAATACTGAGATTCTTAATACAACTGAGATATTTAGTTTTATTGACTTCAGGGCACAGTTACTAAACCTGAGTTAAATAATATTTTCTATATATATGTTTGACTTTCTTTGGTACAAAATTCAAGTAAAAATTATAGTGCTAACTATTCAGTGTAGATAGCATCGTGTTTGGGGAAAAATAAGATAATCTATAGGTTACTGTGCCTGCGGATTAGTCAGCATACATTTATTAAGCACCTTCTTTGTCCATAAGTTACCACTATAGGAAAAAAGTACAGTAGTAGTGGAGATGAAAGAGCTTTGTGGCTGGAGTCATGTATATCAGGATTTGAATCAGAAGCTTTGGTCAGATCTCAATGGATGGGTTGAATGAATTGAAAAATGCAAGCTTGATGGATTCTGGAGAAGGATTCATTGTATAGGTATTGGTTAGACTCCCAGTTTAGTTATTCCTTTTTAGTAATGCAAGTGACTGTTGGGTATTCATTTGTTGCAAAGAGTTCTTAATCATTCTGTGTGTCATATTTAGAGTATTCAAATATTACTGGTTAAAGAAAAATAAAAATCACTAGTGGATTCTTGTTTTCACTGTGTTTGTAAGAAAAAGTGTCACCTAGTCACTAGGCTCATTAAGAAATAATATATAAAATGCTTTTCTTTGTTTAAAGGGCTCTAGCAAAAATTAAGACTAGGTTTCATCCTAGCTTTGTGCCTTACTCTGACTTTGGACAGGTCAGTTAACTGCCCTTGCTTATTAGAATACAGATTGACCTAACTTCTGGTGAAATAAAGTTTCCATTTACTACTTTGATGACATTTAACTGGAAGCATTTTATTTTTGCCATTTTAAGACAAACTGAAATATGTACATTCTTTTTTTTTTATATTTTAAAAAGAAAAAAACAAACTATGAATTTTAAAAATCTAATGATTAAGAAAATTTATTTCAGGTTATTTTCTCCTATTTTCTTGGTAGCGGATACTCTGTTTTCAAGGAAGCTGAATGGGAAGTACAGACTTGAACGACTTGTTCCAACTGCAGTGTATCAGCACATGAAGATGCATAAACGAATTCTTGGACACTTGTCATCTGTGTACTGTGTAACTTTTGATCGAACTGGCAGACGGATATTTACTGTAAGTAATTTTTAAAGTGTTCTGTGGAATTAAATATTGTTTATAGGTGAACTAAAAAATTTTGTTTTTATTAATGGAAATAAAGGTAATTTAACATTTTATAAATGAAAGACAAGTTTGGACTTTATCCAAGTTTGGAAAATTTTAAAGGATTTGTAGCACAGTCACGCTACATTGTGGATCTATAGCATGAATAAGTATAGTTCTCAATATTATACCAGGTGAAGGTACAGATTCATTCACAAAATTCTTTATTGCCTTAGAATTTTTTATTTTTATTTTTTTAAGGGAAATAGAAATTCTCATTTTGTCTTTGAAGAGAAAAGTTGAAAATTTGGGTCATAATTCTAGATTCTCTATTTAAGTAAATGTACTTACAAACTGAGATCTATTTGTACCTTGTCCTCCTCTACCCGTGCACCAGATCATCTGTTAAACTAGCTAAGGAGCAGAATGTAGGAGAAAATTTGTATATACTTATTATTTTCTTTAATCCATCAGGCATTTGCAGATCATTTCTTCAGTGTTTTCTCCTTTTGTGTTTTCTTTTTTTTCCTTTGTTCTCTATAAAACAAAAGTGAAATTTCATAAACTTTCTTCAGATTCTAATTTTCGTAGTGGAAAGTAGGCAATTTGTATCTGTTAAAGTGCTTCAAAGACCTACAGTAGTAATTTACTATAAACTAGCAATTGAAAATTAATTTAGCCATTTTAATTTAATACAGTTATGTTCAAATCCAGCTCTGTAAAACCTAAAGCAAATTTGGCATATTTAATGTTTGAAATAATTCTTTAAAAAGCTGTAATAAACCAAAGTGAGAAAGGAGCATTCTACTGTATTTGTACTTTATTTACGTGACTACAGCTCTTTGCACATTTCACTGAGATTACAAAAAATACATGTCATTTTTTATGTTAATAAAAGTTCATGTAGGAATACTTTCTCTAAAAAGATACTGATTGTAAGTATTTATTATCATACTTTGTAAAGCATTGTGTACATTTTGGTATGAATTGTATTCATAAGCTAGAGTTTTTTGAAGCAAAATAGTAGCGAGTGATGCATTTAAGTTATCTTATGAGTTTATTTTTTTTTATTTTTTTTATTTTTTTGGTTTTTTGGTTTTTCTCCGGTACCGGGAACCGAACTCACGACCTTGCGCTTGCCAGGCAGGTGCTTTTGCCTGCTGAGCTAAATCCCCAGCCCCATCTTATGAGTTTAATTGTATGGTAGGTACAGAGTTGAATGAGCACTTGGAACCAGAGGTTAGCACACTTCTGCTGCCTGTGGGTCGGTCCAATCCGTTACCTGTTCTTATTTCTGAAATGTTATTGAGACATGGGCACGCTCCATTCCTGATGTATTACGTGTGGTTGCTTTTGCATTACAGTGCCAGAGTTGAGTAGTTACAGTGGAGACCTTACGGCCTACTGGGCCGTACATTTGCTATTCTTTTCTAAGTATTTAATGTCTGCTCCTTAAGGGAGTCTGATTTGGGAAACAGGAATGATGTATAAAGAGGAAGCTGCTCTCTAGTTGTTTCCTTTAGTTGAAGGCATATAAATATAAGGAAGAAAAGTTATAAAAACTGTATTTTCTTAACAATAGTCTGAAAGATACTTTCAAGTATGTGATAGGATTTTACTAATTGGGCCGAATTTTAATTTCCTGCTGGTGATTTACAGTTACATATTCTAAACTACCTTACAGTGAACAAAAATGCAAAGATAGGAGCACTGTTTCTTAAAATTTCCTTCTGTTTTTATGATTATCACTTCAAGTGACAGAGTACTTGTGCTCAATTTTGTGTTACCTCTTAAAGTGGAATGGATTCTGGGTGTTTCTCATTCAAGTAGAAACACTAGATACTGAGTACTACTTTCAAAATTAATCTTGAAAATTGATAGTATGAAGCTTTAGGATAATAGATTATGTTTGACCAGTAAAAATTTCATGTAAGGACTGAACTATTGTTTATTGGAATACCATTTGATACGGATTAACCAATATACAGTATATCCTTTTTTAATTTTGTATTTTGAAACTTATTTCTGAGATACTTATAGATACATTTAGACACTTTCCAATGGTTTATTTCTCTTGAGTTGTCTAAATAGGTACAGCTAGAGGCAGTATAGTATATACAGTGGTTGAGAGCATCAGTGAGCCTCTTACAGCTTCACCATCTTGATAGATTACCTCTTTAATCTCTAATTTTCCTGTCTTAATAGAGAAGTAGATTGTATAGTGTCAGCCTAACAGAATGTTTATGGGACTACATGAAATCAGCACATATAATTGGTACTGATTCAAGGAATATAAAAAGTAGTCATTAAGTTTTACCTGATGCTGCTATAAATTTTATAGATAATTTTTATCTGTTTCATGTTTCAAGCAACACTTATAAATACCAGATTAAAAGGTGAACATTTTCTCATTGAATAATGAGAACAGCACAGAAGATAGCATAATTACCAAATCACATTTGAATCCCTATTTCTCTCTAGCCTTTTAAAGTTTTTACTTGTTACAGAACCATTGCCTTAAGTTATATATACCAAAGAAAGGTGGAGTTAAAGATAGGGGTAAGGAATAATACCGAAATCTGTTGAATACCATGCAACAGGCAGGAGTTTCTACTTCCCCCCTTTTTTTTAAAAAATTTTTTATTTTAAAGAGTAAAAGAAGGATAACAATTTTGGGGGGCTTACCAAATTACAGACAGAATGGTAGGAAATTATCAATGGTTACTGTTTTACATACTGTTATCTACAAGATAGTTTCTCAGGAAAACAAATAGACAAATAGCAGTGAGTTACAGACAAAAGGGATAGGAGATTATCAATAGTTGTACTATACTTTGTTATCTTCAAAGGCTTCTAAAGAAAATAAATAGAGCTATACATGAGTGACCAATTGAATGATCATTAATTACTCTCAGTGGTTGTTGTAGGAAACACATAATAATAAACATATATCCATTTACGAAATAGGATAGGAACAATACAAACATTACAAAGTTATGGATAGATTAGCAGGAAAATATCAATGGCTACTGTAATACATGGTGGTATCTTCATAGTGGTTTCTCAGGAAGACAGAGATATGCAAGAAGGATCTAACAAGTAGTTATAGACTAAGGGTTCTGAAAAAATAGCATATTACCTCCTCACCAGTGACTCCTTTCACTGAGGTGTGATGGCTGGAAGGAAGGCCAGGATTGAAAAGAAGGCCAGAGAGACTTGCACCTGTGTTTAGCAACAGGCTGTTTTCTTGTTCCTCCATAGTCATGATTACCCGGGGCTCCTCCATGGAGATGACAGTCTGGTCAGAGGGAGAAGGCAGAGTATGCCCTGGGCCCCTCATTTCTGTTGAGCTAACTGGTAGGATGGGTCTGAGCTCTGGGGCCTCCGCTTCAGAGGGCAGACCGATCTCCAGTGGTCACCTTTGCATTCAGGGAGTGGCCCAGGTTCCCCCTTTCTAGAACCATAAAGTCTCTTTTCTTTTCCATTTAGATCAAGGTGACAGAATATAAGTTATTTTCATCAGTGTAAGTTACAGTAAGAAATACAAATGTATTCATTTAATGAACTTCAGGCTCTTTTATGAGCCAGGGCTTCTTAATTATTGGGGTATAGAACTGAAAGACATGGAATCAGGTTCACAAATGGTAAAGACAACCTTGGTCCCATGTCACAAGAACCATGATAGAGGGTACCCAAAGAACTGAGGTATAGGAGGAAGATATCTAATCCAGCCTTGTGGCAAGAGATGGTAAGGGTACTTGCCTAGATAGCTGCTGTCTCAGCTGACTTGAGCTGGGTATTGTAGGCCTGGGGAAAGGCATGTGTGGTTTGGCTCTGGAATGTCCCCCAGAGACTCTTGTGTTGAAGGCTTGATCCTCAGTGCAGCAACATTCAGAGGTGCAGCCTTTGGGAAGTGGTTGGATCATGATGGCTCTGATCTCATCAGTGGGTTAATCCATTGATGGGCTAATAACTTAATGGGGCATTGGGAAATGATAGAAAATATAAGAGACGGGGCCTAGTTGGAGGAAGTAGGTCCCTGAGAGTGGGTCCTTGAAGTATATATGTGTCTTGTCTTGGGCACCTGCCTGTTTCTCTACTCCTAGTCTCAATGAGTTGAGCAGCTGTGCTTCACAGTTCCCTTCCTTGCCATAGGCCCATAAGTGGTGAGGCCAAATGACCATCGGCTGAAACCGCTGTCCTACACTGCATACTCTTGATTGTGTTAGAAGCACATTTCTTTATCATAATGTGTGTGGCTTCTTCAGGTGTAGCAGCAAAATTAGTAAAATATATAGAATACTTCAAAATTTTGTGTTTGAGTGTTTTAAGTACCACCCTTTCTCAACTTTCCTTGTCACTAACATCTGCACTGTTGTGTTTTCAGGACAAAGGTGTATTCTTTCAACTTCTTTAGCTTTATCCTTAGAGGATAAAATCTCTCTTTGGGGGTACATTAAGTAAGCTAAAAGCTATACAACCTTTTTTTTTTTTTAAAAAAAAACCTATGTTAGGTTTGATATCAATAGACAAATGATAAACCTGTTAATGACTACTCTTTTGTAGTAATTTTACATTACTGAAAGATGAAACTATTGAAACCTCTTTCTTATGTTTGCTTGGAATTAAACACTAGCTTAATACTACATTTTTATTTAAGAACAAAATCTCCATGATTTTCTTCTCCAGTACTGTACCCAGCCGGATTTTAAAACCCGTCATGGTTTTCCAGATGAAAGTCTACTCTTCATGCTGTCTCTTGGCAGTCTCATCTATTACCATTTCAGCTACAACATCCCGCTCTCTATCTCTGTGCTATACGTTCTCTTGTAGCTCAAGATCTGTTCTATACTCAGATAATAGAAGAATCTGACTAAATATTACTGTGATCTTGTCTTGCCTACTTAGAGTCCTGTAGTAGTTACCTCACTAGATTAAATCCATGCCGTTCAACAGGCATTTAAAACCCTCTGTTGTCTTCCTCAAGTAAAACCATCCCAACTTCGTTGTTACTTTTGCTTGTACGTTATACTCCTGAGTTTTGTCTCTTTACCAGATATTCTTGAAAAGGAATTAAAAAAAAAACAAAACTGAACTTTGTGGCTTTGCTGAAGAAAACAGTGCCACTTGAGGTGTTTCTAAAGTCATGGTTTCTCAGCTGTAGCAGCTTTTCCACTGTGGTTTTCAGGGTTTTTTCTCCTTCCTTACTGTTTTTATTTCAGTGTTTCCACATATTCTTCACTTACTGGGTTTCTTCTTTCTTTCCTTCCCATGCCCCAGTCTTCTTTCAGGAAATAATCAGATATTTTAGTTTGTTTTTGCTAAGGTTACAATTTTTTGATTGGCTTTAGCCTATGTTGTCATACCTTTCACCATTTGCATTACACTGGTTTTATTTCCCTACTACTGTTTTAACATTTTAATTGCCTTTGACTAAAAGATTATAATGTTTTATTCTTTGACTGATTATTGACGTTAGTAACATTTGTGGACTTTTAATTAAGTTGATGAAAATTTTGTTGAAATTCTCCACATTTCACTCTTCTAAAAAAATAGTTTACCAATTTTTAATTCATCCTTTCATACTCATTTTAAGACCCATTTATACTTTTTAAAATGTTTTACCAATATTTTTATTTTGCCTTTTATAGTCCGTTTTAGTTATTTTTGTGTGTTTGTATTTTTATGCTCATTTTGAAAGAATTTAGGTGAATTTGTGGTCAGATTATTTATATAGTAGATTCAAATTTTCTTAAAAATAAATAAGTGATCATAGGTAATAATCCATTAGACAGAAGTTGCTTAGGGATGCTTAGGGGTTCTGTTTGAAATTCTACCAGAAATTCCTGAAGGTGGAGATGAGGATGAGGACAGCAAACTACTCTGTAAATTCTGGAAGAGGTTAATACAAGGACATTTCCCTGAAAGGACGATGAAAAATTTGCTGCAATGTGATGGAAAAAGGGGCTGGGGATTTAGCTCAGTGGCATAGCGCCTGCCTGGCAAGCTCAAGGTCGTGAGTTTGGTTCCCGGTACCGGAAAAAAAACTAACTAAATAAATAAATAAAAATTTGATGGAAAAAAGGTTGTGATAATACAAACTCAAGGGAGAATATACCTTGCCTTTTTTTTAATGCTTGTTTAAATAGAGCAGAATTACAAAGTATTAAATTTCTAAGATTACTAAATAATAAACTCAGTAGAAATACAGTGAGACTTGTTAGATTTTAATTGGTGAAAAGTTCTGGAGTATCACAGGTTGCTATTGGCCCTTGCGTTAACTGATATTTTGGTAAAAAGCTGGAGAGTTTTGTGTTTAATGTGTAAGATATGTGAAACCACTCTAGTAGGGATGTAAAACAAACTCTTACCCAGTTTCATAAGAAGAAAATTAATTCTATCAGTATTGTGATGCATAATCAGATGTCATGATTTTACTTTTGTCATATAGTTTGCTAATGTTAGCGTACTCAAAATTTTCTTTTTGTGCTGAATACAAGTCAGAACCAAATGTAGTTAGTATTTGACCCCTGATGATAGGATATTTAGGTGTTCGTGTCTCTTATGTAAAATGGCATATCATTTGTACTTGATTTGTGTGTATCTTCTATATACTTTACATCATATGTAGATTATAATACGTAGTAGAATGTAAGTGGTTTTTATGTTTACTGTCGAGAAAATAATGACAAGAAGAACATGTACACATTTAGCACAGATGCATTTTTTCCCCAAAATATTTTCAATCCGCACTTGGTTACTGAACCACAGATACGGATCACTGACTGTATTGCCTTAAGTTTTAGAAAATAAACAAGTAAATAAATGGACTCAGTTTATGGAGTTCAGAGAATTTGTTGAACAAATGCTCTAAAACCGATTCTGTTATTCAACTAATACCTAGTGTTCTTCCCACATACCAAGTGGTGTTCTGGCCTGTCTTTCTGGATGGAAGTTGTAGTCTGCTACAGTTTCTCCTTCACTTCCTGTGAATAGTCAGTGTTGGAGGCCTTGTTTGTTGTATTGTTTCTAACCATCTCTTGATTTTTCTTCTGCTACAGTATTCTCTGCTGCCTAGACAATTTTAACAACTCTGAAGTGGTGTCCTCCTTTGTAGCCTAATTTACACTGATGATAGGGTGCTCTTTCAGATCTGATCCTGGTACTTGTGTAGTTGATATCCTTCATTGACCCTAATTGTATATTATAGTTCTTCATCTTCTTGCCTTAATCTCATACTCTGAATTTGTTTTCAAAATACTTATAGTTTCTTGAACTACACACATTGTTTCACATTTTCATGTCCTTGATCATACTTTTTTCTCTAGTTGCTAAAGAGATTATTCTTTTTAAAACGAGTAATATTAAAATAAAGAAAAGCTACCACCAGTAAAATTGACACTAGTAGATAGTTCATGTATAGCTTTGACTGTGTGCCAGGCACTATCCTGGTTCCTCAGGTTTTAAGCCAGAGATCAATGATTGGAAACTTACATGGTATTATGTGTTTAGTTTCCTAGGAAAAGCGGCCCCAAATTAACATACTTTTAGTTCTGTATAATAAAGTAACATATTATTAATCAGTGTGTGTTACATTTGTTTTGCATTTATTTTTTGTTATTTACAGAGGTTTAAATTCTACAAGATTTCAGGTAGAGCTTCCTTTGGATGGTAGGTAGAGGACCACTGTTAAGTGTTAATTACTGCCAGCACCATCATTCCCTGAAATGATGGTGAAAAATTCGCTGCAGTTTGATGGAAAAAGGTTAATTGTGATAATACATACTCAAGAGAGAATATACATTGCCTTTTTGTTTTTAGTGCTTGTTTAAATAGTGCTTGCATTAAGAGTTTGCTTTACCTTTGTTTGCTGGTTGGTACGCAGGTCTTCTTTATAAGTGAATGACTTAATAATTAAAATCAAGAGCTTTATGCGAATAGAATCCTGCATAGCTACCACTTTTCATTGCTTAAAAATAATTATTGGGAAGTGGGTATAGCATGATTTCTTTAAAATTAGTGTTAAAATTTGAACTAAAAGTTACAAAGCTATTTCTATTCGTATTCATTCTTGCTTCAAGGGTTCTGATGACTGTCTCGTGAAGATCTGGGCAACAGATGATGGGAGATTATTAGCTACTTTAAGAGGACATGCTGCTGAAATATCAGACATGGCTGTAAACTACGAGAATACCATGATTGCAGCTGGAAGTTGTGATAAAATGATTCGAGTTTGGTGTCTTCGAACCTGTGCACCTTTGGCTGTTCTTCAGGGCCACAGTGCATCTATTACATCTCTACAGGTAATTGCTTTAATCATTACCAAAAACCTTCTGGTTATAATTTAAAGTAAGTATTAAGTCACTTTAGTAATTACATTATAGGTTCACTAAAGCAATGAAGAAACATTTCTGCTTTCTTTAAAAATTACATGAGCTTTGAATATCATGATACTCAGAGTCTCTTTTGGGTGTTTTCTGTTGGTAGTTATTACTAGGATAGTAAAAAGTGGGCTTTATTATTTGTACTGTATCACTCTTCTTGTAAAGATTTTTTTCCTGTCATTGTTTTTCAGTTCTCACCATTGTGCAGTGGCTCAAAGAGATATCTATCTTCTACTGGGGCAGATGGCACTATTTGTTTTTGGCTCTGGGATGCTGGAACCCTTAAAATAAAGTCAGTTGCTATTTTATTTCATAAAATAAATGTGTTTAATTAATTTGTTAAAATTACAAAAGTAGTCAACAGGAATATATTTACTTTCTCAAGCAAGTAATGCAGCTTCTTTTTGATTCTTAGCTCATTTTTGTGCTCTTCTTTCTTATGCTTCAAAGGAAATGTTCTTACGCTAATGTGTGTGTTTCTCTTATATTTGTGCTAGCCCTATAGTTATTTCCTTTAGGATATACCCTTCACATTCCCATTCCTGTTTATATGCTAGTTTTGTCTCCAGTACCTCCTTTTGATGTTGAGATCATAATTCTAGAGTTACAAATGCTGTTCTTAAGAATAATTTTACTTGTGTTACTGAATCGTCAAACATTAGATTTTATTATAGATCCGAGGAAATTTAGGAAAAAATTTCATTGAAGTATATCAAGGTTGATAGATGTATATATGTACTGTATAATAGTATTTTGCAGTTACGTTTTCACCTTTTATTAAAATCTTGCTATATCAAAATATGTTGCCTGAGTAGTTACACTGGCAAGGCCATGATTGTAACACTTCTTTGCTCTTTGGTTTTGTGCTTTTATACCGTAATACTTAAGTAGATGAAGTGGGAAGAGGATGTGTATGATTTACCTATGCTTCCCCACAGTTAGGTCTTTGGATAGGGAAATACTGCATCTGGTGACTGCACACCATTTTAAATGGCCATTTCTGACACTCTCAGTGTAGAAAGTCCTTCAGATTAAAAGTTACATGTTAATAATTATCTGTTTATAAATTGTCAATCCAAGGTGTGCTATTTAATAAACCGTAGTTTTTAGATAATTGTTTCCATTACAAGACGTGTGTCTTAACCTGCATGTATATAAACATTCCTGTAAGTGGTTTGTGGCAAGTCTAACATTAGGGGCTGTGGTAGCTTGAGTAACATAATGAAAGTGTATTTTACTTAAAGAAAAGATTGTGATCAATACTGTTCTTTGGACAAAGCAAGTTGATTTCACCTTAATTACATTCTTAGTGTTTGTACAGATATAAATACTAAGAAATGCGTATAATTTGCTGTTGTTTTCTCATTTTTTATCATAAGCATTTCTGTTTTAATTGCTATAATTACTTGTTCCATACTGTCCTCTGGATTTTTTTTTTCTATTTTTACATATTAAAGTTTTACCTAGTTATTTGTAGGTAGTATGCTTTTCTACTTGCTAATTACTCCTTGAGATTTTTAAACTGGAATCACATGCTTAGATACAGGCTTTGGAATGCCTGTTTTCTGTGTTTACACATGGTAATAACTGTCAAAAAAAATTGGTAGCATATGACTTACTAATACATTTAATGTTAGATATATTTTAATAATCAAAGGCAAAAATTGTATTGCACAATAAGACTTCTATATACTCCGCTGGGGACATGGCTTCAGAAACCCAACTACCTGCATTAATGGAAAGAATAAGCTTAACTTTGAAACTCAAATCTATTCATAAATTCACTTTTATATAGGATATATATGTGTGTATGTATATATCCTTATGTATAGATATATACATGTATACCTATATATAGATATACACACATATATGTAATATAATATATGTCTGTCTGTCTATATCTCTACACATAACTCACCCCAGTAAAGATAAGGCTTCTAAGATGGGTAATCTCAATAGCTGGATGATTCACAAACTAGCCCAGGAGATCTTTAGGTAGAAGAAAGTGATCTGAGCATATTTAGTCTGGGTGTAAGGAGAATAGAAATCCTGAAGTATGTAGGTAACGATTTACACATTTCTTAAAAGCATTTAGACTGTTCAGCTAAGTAGTAAGTACTTTACATTTGTTATCATAATGATCCTTACAACAACCTGTTAAAATACAATTCTTGTCTTTTGTGTAAATAAGTGTAAATAAGAGGAAAAACTATACACAAACCATTAGCCAATAGTGGTAAAACCAGGATTTAAATACCATCAGGACCCCCTCTTAACCACTGCACCAAAGCAATGATTATTTATGGATGGAATGTATGGAACTTACTGAACCTGATTAAAAATACTAATAAAACTAATAATTTTTTGACTTCACATGCATTAAACTCATTTCATTCTCTAGCAATTCTGAAAAAGTTTCGTCATTATTACTGTCATTTTTACAGAGGAGACTCAGGCTCATAAGTGTTAATTTGTCTGAGGCACACTATGTTAACCTGCTATGTGGCAAAGGGAAAACTTTGAACTAGGAAGTCTGAATCCAAGACACATTAAAATATTTCCTCAAATAGCATCTAAAAATAAACTTTTGAATAGATTGGCCTGGACCTGACTCCAACAGGAGCCGAGGGATCCCAGCACCTCCTCTCAGGACCCCGATAGGAAAGTTCTGTCGGGTTTCCTTGAGAGTCGGAATTCCTTGGACTGCATAAAAGACATATCCAAGCCATGAAGACTTTGCTATGATAACCTTCTACAATAACCCATACTGTGTTTCCCAGATGCAGGGTATACTTTTATCTTTGCTCTCACCCTCTTTTTTAATTTACTTGATCCAAGCTTGCTCCAATTTCTCTTCCACTCTTCATTTTTTGCCACTGCTTTTTATTTTATTTTATTTTATTTTGGTTTTTCTCCGGTGCCGGGAACCGAACTCACAACCTTGTGCTTGCCAGGCAGGCGCTTTTGCTGCTGAGCTAAATCCCCAGCCCGCCACTGCTTT